GAGAGGTAGAGATTGTTTATTCAAATTCAATTGGTTCTTCACAATTAATACTTAAATTAAAGTCACGCAAACGTCCGGCAATTTTGAGGAAAATATGGATAATATTAAAAATCCATTTTTCTGTGAATATGAGTTCAAAATTGAGCGCATTTTCAGAATCTCTCAAACGATATTTTCTCTAAAGGTGCTCAAAATTTTACAATAAATTTACATTCAGGGCTACGTTTTACCCTTTTACAATAACCAATTTTCCCTCGTTATTTTTAATTCCACTATTAAAAACACGAAAAATTTAGAAAATGTGTACTAAAATATCTTTTGTGCACAAATAGATGACCGATGGGAAAAGGGTGGGACATAACCGTAATGCCAGCCCACACGAAAGAGATAAGGAAGTGCGAGAAAGTCTGTAGCAGAACTAGTCGATTACTTGAAAGGTAAGAAACTGTTGTGCTGTATGTTTACTATTCTAAGTTGTTACAGTATTCGTGAAGGATATGTTCGCGGGCAGAAGTACGGGTTTCGTGGTATTTCCTTTGTGAGCAAAATTCGTGAGAAGTCCGGGTTCGTGAGAAGTCTGGGGTTTGTGGTTTTTCATTTGTGAGTAACATTTGTGGACATGACTGAAAGTACGACGCAAACTCAAAGGTTGTCTGCTTGGACTTGAAATAGAAAAAAAAATATAATTTTTAATGGTTGCTGAAATCTTTGTTCGAGAGGTTATGAGGAAGAGTGGAAAATTTCTGCTTCCAACGCGTCGCTTAAAATGCAGACATGAAGAATCAAAGTAAACCTCGTCTTGTCTTCCTTATATGCGTCTCCGTTCCTTCTCTTATTTCTTCTTTCATTTCCAGATCCCCGCTGCACTTTATCGTCTCCGCGCCGAGCTCTTTGACTTTCTCTCTCTGTGTCTTCTCTGTATTTCTCTTTCTCTGTCTGTCCGTGTCTGTCTTCTCGTCATTCGGAGTGGACAATGAATGATGGAAAAGACAGGGTGCTCGACCTACAAGTCCATTTGCGGTGTTTCCCCTCCAAATATCCACCCCAGTGGGGCACCAAGCGAGCCAAGATAAACTAAACTCCCGACGTGTAGGGTAGTAGAGTTTCATTAGAGATTCCGAGCCCGTTAACTGCTGAGGTCATTTGTCTCATACGCGTGGAGCATGTGTTGATCGCGGGAAATGGCGGATCTCTTCCTCCTGTGGAGAGCGAGATCCGACGCCGACCTACCCGCTGGCTTGCGGGCTTTTCCTCAACCAGGTATCTCCCACCAGCGGGACAAGCTCTAAACGTTCGACGTGTGTAGAAGTGTACTGTATGTAGGGGAGCAGGAAGGGACTGGGATAAGCGAGGGCATATCGTTCGCGGTCCGTATAGAGATTGTTTTCGTGAGAAGGGGCCGCTTTGACATCTACCGCTTGGCCACTGCTGGCAGCATAACTGCGGTGTACTCAATTTGTGCGTTCGTCTGCTACCCCTCGCAATGTCATCGGCCTGCTTGCCTTCCATTTGTTTCCCGACCTGTCAAAGTCGTGGAGTGTGTGTGTGTGTGTAGGGCGGCCGGCGGCGGGGCGGGGCGGGCGCTGTGGGCGCTCGCTGGGCCTGGGCCTGGCCCTGCGAGCGGGTGGGTGGGTGGATGGGTGGGTGTGGGGCGCTGCGCCTCCGCGGTGCGTTCTCGCGCTCGTCGTGAGGCGGCGGGGCGGCCAAGGCCGTCGGCCGCGCCGGCCCATGCGCGGCGCGTGACCGCTGGACGGGGCTCTCCTCTCCGCTCCTCTCTCTCTCTCTCTCTCTCTCTCTCCTCTCGTCGGAATGCGCCCGCGCCGCTATCAGATCGCCCCGCGCTTCTCCGCTCCGCTCCGCCGCCCGCCCCGCCCCGCCCCGCGCGCCGGCCACGTCCTTCGCCCGCCCGCCCGCGCGCAACAAAGAAGAAAGCATGTCGGCTCGTCCGAAGAAAATCTCCACACATGTACATGTGTATATTCTTACGTCTTACAATCGTCCAAAGGCGTAACACCGCCTCCTCCCGAGGAAAGAAATATCCACTACACTTACGGGACTAATGACCTCGGTGCTTGACACGCCTGGAATGAATAACAACCAACCAATCTTATAATCGATTATATTGATGTACTTAAAAATTCTGTATTATTTGTATTTAGCCATTAAATGTCCCGTAAAGGGCAATTGGTTTCGGCGCCGGTAGATCCTGAGTTCCCAACCAGGAACCCGCGATGTCTGCAATTCGCTTAAATTTCGTGACTTCGCGTAGTTCACGAATTCGGCTAGCTACCCCTTCTTCGCGGTCGTGGCCTTTCACGGGAGAGCACGGCAATCTCTGTCAGGATGGCCGGCACGGGGCTTGATCAGCGCCCTACGCCCAGAGCCACTTCGTTCGGGATGACTAGGACCACGCATGCACCCTGCATTTACCGGGGCTCAGTACCATTATCTCGGTGCATGTAACTTTTTATTATGCGATCAGCATTTTAGCCGGATCCGACTTTTATCCCCAAGGTTGGCACCACTGCCTTAGCGATCTCGGCCTCACTCCTTTACTAATATTAGACGAATAACAAGCTTTGTTGTTCTAAATTTCATTTCCAGAAGTGTTCACGTCCGTGTAATATAAGCTATTTTGTATCGAAAAACGAGCTAAAGTTTTGATGTAATAGTACTGTTGTAAAATAGGCAAATCTCCACTCTTATTGTATGTAGCGAAACGAGGGGTCAAGAAAACACACGCCGATTATACTTCCTTCGGAGGTCAGTTTTTCACAAGGCTCGTGGAATACTCGCGAATTCGCGGCGTCTAGTATTGCGTCATAATACGCAGTGACTCGCCCATTACTTTTGATATTGGTAATATGTTAACTTGCAGAATGGGAAAAAGCTATAAAAATGAATAGTTTAAATTACTGGTCAAAAATCTAATAAAAAAAGTATCGTCTGTATCCGTCACTTCAGTCTGTTGTTTTGGAAGGGAAATAGCGGTTGCCCCCGGGAATGAAGCATAATTGAAGTTCTTATTTGAAAATTATTATTCAGATTCAGCCTACTGTTCCATATAGCATTCATCTGTTTTCGGATACCGTGTAACATAGGAGAAACGCCGTCATTGTACCCAGTACTGGCAGCGTAATGGAGAAGCCTGTTGAGAATACATGGATATGTAAAAATTAGAACAAGCGGACACGCAGACATGTCTATTTCAAATAAGCTCTTTAATTTCTATGCATAGAACGTATTACCAATAACGTGAGTTTAGTTCGAGAGCAGACAGCGAGACTGGGCACACCCTGGCCCTCCGCGCGCCGTCGGACAGTTCCTCGCCATTCGTGCAGGGGCCGTTGGGGCAGTGGCGAAGCAGCGAGGCAAGGCGGGCATGAGCACGCCCTCTAAGCCTCTTAGGCGACGGCGAGGGTTTCGTGCATATTGGACGTACAGGAAGCGTGATGTCCAGACGGTAGATTTCTGCTTCAAAACTTTTGAGCACGTCCGATATTTTTATACAGAAAAGGTACAGTTTGGCTCTTTGCGCTTGTAACGGCAGAATCGTTTACTTCAGGATTTGCTAGGTTATGTGCGATTCGTGGGATTTTCAGTATTAGCATAGCGGGTTCAAGGTCTCTGCTTTGAGTTGCTGCTGAGTTTATTTTACTGCCTCTTGCAAATGTGATGTTACTGAATCTCACTTCTGCAGCCAACATTCGGAGCAGTTTTTCTTCGGTACCGCTTAAGCCTTCGCAGTCACAAGCCTTCGTGCTTGATGCGAAAACGATGACAGACTTTCTACTTGTCTCCCCAAAGTTCATTAATACAGAAAAGTATTAATAATTGCTCAGAACGCACGTTTTCGGGAATGAATGCACGCGGACGGCGCAATTTACGAAATCGTTTGTGTGCCGGTAGAGCCCCTGGCGGCGCATAGCGGCAACCCGTTCAGAAAACTTGCAGCTTTTGTCTTCTTCGTGATCTTGAAGTTTCTGTTCAGTTGGGGTGGAGGCTGATGAATTCGAGAGGGCTTTGACACGAGAAACAAAATTCAACTCGAATCTTCGCGCGCCGAGAGGAACTCGAATGTGTTCTCGTCACAATTCAAATTGTTCGAAGAAATTGGCACCCCACCCTGGCATCCGACTTCCGTCTTCTATACAACACACACGTACAACAACAACACTCCCGGAAACATCGGGTGTCGGACGAAGATCTGTTTTGTTTGATTTTGTCCATTCTCCCGAAATCAGCTAGAGATTCATGACCATCAGTAATACCACGTCTACCTGCAATATATGTAGATGGCGTGAGGGAGTTTCTGAAAATGTTTCAAACAATAAACTCTAGAATTATGGGAATATTCGGACGATTTCGGTTTCAACTTGGTGATTTTAGGGACGAAAGAAGTCGGACGATTCCGTTCGCAGACGTGCGGTAGCGAGCGTCCGATATTTCTGCTGCTCTGTGACCGTAGCCTAACCGTTGAACTGTCGCGGCGATCAATGCTTTAAGCGATTTCCTAGGCCTGCTGAATTGCACGTCATTGATACTCAATCAGCACCATCCTGTCGTGTCACTGACAACTTGCGTCCTCGGCGCAGTTTAGGTGCGAAGTACATCCGTTGGAGAGGCTTCAAAGAATTCCCCGTAACTAGGTGAAAACGAAAAAAAAAATGAATTTCTTAAAATAGTTCAATGAGTTGCTTTTGTTAGCTGCGCGAACAACCGAGCGCGGTGTTCCGTGGCTCGCCGAGTGCCGTTTGGAAGTGGACGGGCCGGCGCCGTGGCCTCCGCCTCCTTCCACCACGCGTCGCCCGCGTGTTGCTCGCCTCCACCGCTCGCGGCGCCACCGTCTCTTCCTGGCCTCCCATCACTTGTTTCCCAACGCGCCTCTCTCGGTCCATCGAGTCAAGGCTCTTCTTGTTCGCGTTTGCTCAACATCCTCCTGTGGTGGATTCCGGCCTTCCCCCATGTATCGTTTCGTCTTTTGTTCCTTTGTTAGGTACATGATTTTCGGTTTGGAGTCCCAGGCGCTGTCTCGTCCACAACGATGTGTATCCACACCGCTAGATAGATCACTTGTTTTGGCGGTGATGACTCTCCTGCCGCCAATTTACGCACCAAAAACGATGTTATTACAGAAAGTGGCGCATAGTAGAGAATTTCTCTTGTTTTTTAAGTGTTGAGTTTTTTAAGTGTTGAACTTTAATTTCTTCTAATTCTTGGTTACAAGTTCACAATTTCTCTTCTAAGTCGGTAACTTATTTAGGTTTGGATGGAAAGAAATGTGATGAAATAATTAAAACTGAAAATTTAAACCTGACAAGTTTGTTGATGGTACTTGAAAAGATATTCCATGTTAAGCGATTAAGAGCCAGCGTTTTCTTCGGAGGACACCCTTCTTCCACTGATTTGCTTCCTTGCACTAATGTGTAAATGTCATATATTACATTTATTGTTAATTCTACACAAATTCTATCCTACAGCGTTCACATCAATATTTCTGTACTTACATAACCTTCTAGCTACTACTCACATCTCCATATAGCGGAGACAACGTACATCGTTGCTTGTCGACTCATCACTCGCTCTTAGTTGCTCTGAGCTCAGCGAGGCCCAAGGGGCGATCGCCTCCTGCTGCCCCCTCCACCCTCTTTCTTAAGCGCTCCCACTAGTGGCGACTCGTGTGCGTTTCTTAAGCGGAGAAAACTATTCAAAGGCGTGAACTGCTTCAAATGAAGTTATATTCGTCGAGGCGGCTTGCGATGGGACAAGAGCGATCGGCCTGTCCGTTCGGTGTGCCCCTGCCCACCCCCACCGTGTGAGCCCCCACACACCAGCTGCGCCGTCCGTGTCGCTGTGCAGCAGTGTAGCATGACTCGTAGCCCGCGGCGCGTTCATCTAGGAGAGAGAGAAGCCTGTAGATGGCACTTCGGAACAGGCGGTCATCCCTTCTGTCGTGTAGCTTCATTAACAAAATCTGATTCTGGCCGAACAGCGCTGTGGCATACGGGCGATTAACTCACGAGACTAGGAAGCACTGACAGTTCCTTCTCAGATCGTTTACATGTCCTTAAATGCACGCGTCGTTTAAAACTCCTCAAAACCATGAACTAAAAAAATATATATTCGCTCCTCCGAATCATCAAAGTAAATGTTGTTGTTGTTGTTGTTGTTGATGTTGTTGCGAGGGGCATTTTCCTCCCATCGCTTCCCTGAGACACCACCACTGCGTCCCAAGCGGCGCTCTCCAGTGTTACCAACAATGCCCACACTTCTCGATGTCTTCGATTCCTCCTACGCCATTGTTTGGATGCCAGCGGGTGTGCGATCTGTCGAAAAATGGCACGAAATGTTTCCGGTTGCCCGCAACGCCGCCGGCCTCCTTCCTCTTCCTCTTCCCCTTCCCCTTCTGGTCTCGGGCGGTGGGCGGTGGCCTTCCGTCGGTGCAGTCATGAGTACGCAAACTGCAGCGTCGGAGAATGCAGGGGCTCAGAAGCGCCCAAAAGGGAGAGGCCCCGCGTGCCGGCTCAGGTGGCTCAGGGCATCAAGTGAACCGTTCATTTCACAAACCCGTTACACGTCTAGATCTAAAACACGCGTTAGCGGCGGATTATTGCTTCAAAAGGATAAACACATCGTTTAGCACATTTTTATATGAAAAATATTCATTTATCAACTGTTTTAATAAATAAACATGTTTTGAAATCAGGTAAATTAGGAGACTTTTTATAGTTTTCGCGGAATAAGGGATTTGGCGTTTGACGGGTTTCTGAAATACACGATTCAATTGATGTCACTGCCGGGACTCTGACAGGGAGGTCCTAGAGTTCACTCCCGGCAGTGGCACGATTTTCGACACACGCTACTTAGGTCGAATTCAGCCGATGACGGGAAGAGAAATGTAGCGGTCGGCTCCTCTGAGCGGGAGTTTTCCGTGGTTTCTGGGATCAACACAGTGTGAACGGCGGAGCAGTGCCCTAACAGACGGACCGCACACAATATTTTCTTCCTCTTCCTTGTCCTATCCTCACCCCTTACGAGTACTACCCTAGAACACTTGCGAGCTTAGAGCTTGTCCCGGCCGGGGTAACTGGTTGGGGGAAATTCCCGCAAGCCAACGTATGTCTCGCCAGACAGAGAGGAAGAACATGCACTGCAGTTACGGGACCGAAATCTCTAATCAGTCAGACACTTCGCACGCCGTACGTGCGAATCTCCTTGGAAGATTCTTCCTCCCTCGGAGCCATCTTGCAACTACTTAAGAAAAGTCATGTACAATGTTTTCAAAAACAAAAAGTAGTTTTCGCATAATTGTTGAAGTTAATGCATTGTATAAAAAAATCACAAAAAGCACTCCAAATTGTATCTTTAAAATGTTTCCACAGAACGCTTAAAATAATGGCGTACGTTTCATTTTTGTTGAAGTCTCTGAATCATTGCAAACCGTTCACGTAATGCGAGAAAGTATGTGCTGTTGTAGCCCCCGCTAATTGCTAATTCAACTGGCTTTCTAATACTAGAAAACTGTCTTTGAACGACCTCATCACCAACCCGCGAGTGCAGCTCGGAGAGCTCAGCACTCGAGCGCCTTGTTCACGCCCCCGCTCACACCTGCGAGCCTTTGTTGCCGCCGCTTTACACCTTTTTTGCCCCTCGCCCCCTCCCTCCCCCCCCTCCCATCGGCCCCCTCCGGTCGGCGGAGTCCATCGCCGGCGGCTGCCACACGCAAAACAACACGCACGACCGCCCCCTCTCCTCTCCCGGCCTCTCCTCCCTTCCCCCGCCACACGCCGCCGCCGCTCCGCAGCCAACCACAGGCAGAGAGACCCCTCGGCCGCCGAGTAAGAAGGGTCTCGACTCTCAGGTCGAAAGCATATTAAACGTTTTCAAATTTCACTTGTTCTACGTACCGTTTCGCGCATCGTTTTGGTCACCTTCAAAAATCAACATGCTCTATATGAAGTCTCCCCAGGCAGATAGACTTGTTATTGTAAAATCCCGTCGTAATATATAAAATTCAATCAACTTGAACCGAGCAGAATGCATTGTTAAGGTTTCTCTTGACTTTTAACGTTTTAGCATCACTTAATAAAGTGTCGACGTCTCTAGAAATAACTGAAATGAAGTTCTGTGATACAAAACGCTTGATTCAGTTTTGTGAATGTTATTTCGATGTATGTGCACTAAAAAATTGTCACTTTTCGTGCAAGGATTAGTTTTCCTTCTTTCTTTCTTCCCTCCTTTTTCGCCCTTAAAAATCCACAGCCTTGATCGGGTTTGAACCAGCAAACGTGGTACATCAGTCCGAGTCATTAACTGGTGGATGTGAGCTGAACATTATACTTTGATAAAAACATCCGAGTCCGTTGACAATTGGCCAGCTGTGACGCCGTCATCCAACCGGGAGCTTGAACGTCACTGTAGTGACATTACGATGACCATTTTAGTGGCGCCGAAGCCCCTTATTGGATGACGGCGCCCCAGCTGACCAACTGTCATCACGCGTGTCGCTTCCCCTCGTGCCCCTGGAAGACGGTGGTGGCGCCACCGCCTGCAGGCGGCTGACCAGCGCGCGCGCGCCCCTTGCAGGCTGCGGGCGCCGCCATGCCGCTCCGCCGCCGCCTTCGCCACCGCCGNNGCGCCGCCGCTGCCCGCGCCGCTCCTGCTTCTGCTGCTAGTGCTGGCGCTGGCCGCAGCGCGCGCTGCCGCCGCCGGGGAGTTCGTCAAGGGCCGCAGTGAGTGACAGCGCTGCCTCCGCACACCCTCGCTCTGGACGCCGTTTTGCACGGACAAAACCAGATCTTCGCCCCTCGCCGTTTCTTTTGTATGCCGTTAAAAAGTCGAGTTATTTAGAGCTTCATGTGACAGATGCGTCATCCAATCGGGACACACCACCACCACCACCACAGTGACGTTCAACTTCCCGATTGGATGACTCCGTAACAGCTAATTTACGTCAACTGACCCTCTACTTAAATCTGAGTGTAGAAGAGGTCTTTCACGATCACTATGCTTTCTGTTTACCATCACGCCTTTGGGCGAATCCGGACCGTCAGACAAAAACGCCCGTCCAAATTGTCGGTCAGAAAGTGCTGCACTGTGGCCGCTGCCACATCGGAGGCGATTTCGATCGGCGACGTCGGACGTTTCTGTCCGCTGTGCCGGATTCGTTCACACACGTGGCAGTATGTGGATGGGGATAGTGAAGCTTCTAGACCTCTTCTGAAAACATCGGCTGTCGGACGAAGATCTGATTCGTTTGGTTTTTTCCGTCCAACTTGGGTTGACCAAATTTCGGGCAGAATATGCTCCAATGTGACCGCTGTCCTGGCGCTTTGTTGGCATTGACTTGTTTATGCGTATTTGTATTCCTCCGATGTTTTATTGTATATCACCAGCAGCACCTGTGTATTCTTACATTTGTATGTGTGTGTGTGTGTGTATGTGTTAAGTTATACTTTGTGTTTGTCCTCCAGTGGTATCCAAAGGTATTCAATTATCTACATCACCCACCCTCATTAACATTTTGATTTGAGTTTTCTTGTATGGTAGAGCGCCGAAACCTCTCCTCTTAATGTGAAGTTGGTGTTTTGTGTCTGATGCCAGACAATGAGGTAAACTATTAAATAAGAAGTGGGAAACTTAATTAAAGAAGGCCTAAAAGCAACGGTAATGTGACAATCATGAAATCTGTAAGGAGTCTCAGTTCCGACGATGAAGGCATGGTGGGGGTATGTACGAAATACTTAAGCAGCTCATCGGACACCGATTTGCTTCAGCAACATCAAGCGGTCTATAGGAGAACTTTTTAAGGCGTTTTCGGCCTGTTGCCAGCAGGTTCATGTGCTAAGGCAACGCCATTTACACTGTACCAAACTCACTAAAATGTAGATGGCTTTTGTCAGGTACGTGCAAATGTGTTGTTTTTGGCCAAAAATCCACGATAAGTTCCTTTGTACACCGCGTGTTATCGCTGAGCAAATGTGCGACCGAGTATCTGTTGACGCTTTTTACACATACTCCCACAACTAGAGTCGCGACTCTGCAGAAAATCTTAAAACTGATGCCTCGGAAAATTAATTTCTTTTCACCTAAGTACTTCTTCTCGCGTGTTTTAAACAGTGACGCATATCGTAGCTATTATACGTTAAATTTTCTTTAAAACAACGTTTCACCTTCCGGAATTCTTCTCGATTTCACCCAAATGACATTTTATAAACGTTCGATTTCAGTTGGCTCAGGGCATCAACTGATGTCTCTGTGGTGCTTCTGACCAGGGTTCGAGTCTCGACTGTGGCAGGAGTTTCGACAGACGCTACATAACTAGGTGGAGCAGTACCTAACAAACAGGCCGCGGACCAATTTCCACTTACACTTACACTATTATGCATTACACTTCCATGCACGTCGCGAGGTCAGTCGGGGGTTTAGCGGCTATCTCGTCTGGGGTAGTGCCTCCCTGGGGGGAGACACCTGGTTGGGAAAACCCCCGCCAGCCGACGTACGTCGGTACCAGATTTCGCCATCCAGCGTGGAAAAATTATTGCCAAACGCATATACTACACTTACGGGACCAATGACCTTTCTTGGTTGACGCACCCGATATCACTAATCATTTTCTTTCTTCCTGGGGTTTCTCCAGTTTGAGGGGATGTCGATTTTGGCTATCCGCCTCTCATGGGGACACATTGACCTTTTGCACTACACACATGCGGGCTCAGAAGGCTTTCCACGACAACACACATACGTGAAACAAGTGACAGACAACCATGCCTAAGGCGGGACTCGAACCCGCGACGCTTCGGACCGCGGCGTCTAGTCGGCACGCGCTCTTAGCCACCTCGGCCAGCTAGGCGGAATCCCTGTAGCCAGTCAGTCAACGAAATAAGTAAATAAATAAGTAAAGGCGTAGAGAGCAGCGGCTGACGGCGGGCCACGCCCCGCGCTGTTGCAGTCTGCATCGGCACCAACGGGCGCATCTCGGTGCCGTCCAACCGCGAGCACCACTACCGCAACCTGCGCGAGCGCTACACCAACTGCACCTACGTGGACGGCAACCTCGAGGTGACGTGGCTGGAGGACCCGCAGCTGGACCTGAGCTTCCTGCAGCACATCCGCGAGGTGACGGGCTACGTGCTCATCTCGCACGTGAACGTGCCCCGCGTGGTGCTGCCGGCGCTGCAGATCATCCGCGGGCGAACGCTCTTCCGCATCGCGGTGCACGACGAGGACTTCGCGCTCATGATCCTGCTCTCCAAGATGAACAGCCTCGAGATGCCGGCGCTCAGGGGTACGTGCTCGGGCTTCTTCCACAAAGTTACATTGAACTATTATAGGTATTAGTGCATGCAATTAATCACGTAGTAGTTTGAACTATATAGTTTTAGTTCATATAATTAATCACTTAGTAGTTTAAACTACATGGTACTAGTTCGTATAAACAAGTCTCGTATTAGTCTGAACTATATGATATAGTATATTTCGAAATAACTAAGTGCTTCGCCACATTCACGAATCTGCTGTTTAAGTAAACATACTAATACTCGTATAGAAAGCAGAACCTGTTCTTTCGATCCCTTCAGCCATTTACGAGATTCCCCGACCGGTGTTCCTGAGCGCTCTCCCATCCTTCGGCCCCGGGGGCTCGTACTTCCGTAACCCTGCTTACCTGACACCCAAGCCTAGCGGAATGGTTGCTAGCTGCCGACGTTCGGCTACCGACAGTGTTTCCGCCATTATTTTAAAATACAACAAAATTATTTAAAATAAATACAATATTAAACACGTCGTTTGTACAGAGTGTTGATTTCTCAGTGTTCACAGGGGCTTTATAAGCTTTTGAATTGGTCAGACGTGTAAGAACGCGCGTTACAAAGCGGTGTTTAGCAAGTGTGGCGATATTAAACGTACATCTCACCGAATGGTTTTATCTGCGAAACAAAGTATAGTACCACGGACAAGTCTTTGTTCACTCACTTACGATTTTCAATTGTCTCATTTACTAAACGAAACTAAATCGTGTTTAGTGAATCTTACCACACAAATAAATGTATTTACTTTATGATCGCTTACCAAACATATTTAGTACATTGCACTAGTGCACGTGTAGTTAACGTGTTTGTGTTAAATAAACTTTTATTTTCCTTTTTCAATGTCGACATCACTCACAACCTGGCGGTAAGGCGGGTGGTATCGGGATCAAGCACGGTATACAGGGGGGGACAGTGGCAGAAAGCAGGGTCGGCTCAAGCAGGTCAGGGTTGGCTAGGGCAGAGCAGGACAAATCAGAACAGGCCATAACAGGCCAGACTAGGAAGAGGACACACCTTAGACAGAATGCATTCCTTTTCCTGCCTCAATATATGAATAAGGTAAATAAATATTCACACTAGTGAAACGATTCTGGTTCACTAGTTTCCTCTAGTATTACTTAATGTGAGTTTCGTACTAAATAAGATAGAGAACATTTTAATGTAATTTTCAATAAAATAATATAATGCAATGCTTAATATTTTCCACCACAACTTTCGCATACGCAGTGTTGAAGCACGGTTGTAATGCAGCGAATCCGCTATTTTTCGACCTAAATTTTTTTTATTGCCGGGTCCTGGTAAAGAAAATATTGATAAATCTTGTTCCTAAATGTACTTTTAACACGCTGTGTTGTCTGAATCTTCGTTTGATGGGTCCTTCATACTGAAAAATCATTTGATGGCAAATGTGCCCGTCCTGTCCGTCTATTTGTTTGTCAGTCAGTGAACAACGCTAGCGACTAAACCGATAGTAGAATTTTCACCAAAATTGATATTTTGTCATCGACCTGACTGTCACATTAATATGGGGAGAAAAGTATTCTGTGCGAGTTTCCTTAAATTCTGGGATCCCATATGGGCTGAATTCTGAATACGATGAAAACTAGCGTTTGTTCTTCGATTTGAAATGAGTTTTTACAAGTGATGACTGAGATATGTTAATATGGATAGAAATTGTAGTATTATACTATTACGCGTCGTTTGAAATATGAGTAATTCTCGTGATTTTTGAGTTTCTTAAGTTTGAAAACGTAAGGAGCATTTAGCATTGCTTGTTCAAACGAGAGTAACGTGTAATTCGCCTAAAAACTAGGAGATTTGAATAATATTACAATATTATAATCATTAATAATTACTATTATATATTTTTCGAACCATTTGCATTTGCTTGTTAGCGCTAACAGGGTTACTCGCTTGTGAAATGTGAATGCCAAACGAATCGCTCGTTGTTCCTTTAATGCCGCGCTGGCTACCGCACTGTAACGAAAGCCGCCGTTTCCGCCCCTCTGAATGGTATCATTAACTTCTAATTTTTTACTTTCTCGCATATTGCGTATGCAGTAATTTTAATACTAAAATATGTCGGCTATGTTTGTGAATAATTATATCTGAATACACTGTGTTCAATGGCAGAAATGTATTTTCATTTAAACTTTTGAAAAACACGCTTCATTTAGTTACGAGATCAAGTGGTCTTGAAAGAGAAACAAAGATTGAAATTGTGACATTATAATATTACGTAACGTTAACATTATAATATTGCTAGAAAGAATGTGCTGTTGAAGCACCCCTAGTTCTTGTTGAGTGGTTTACCATGCTTCCAATATAAAAATGAATTTGAAATTGGCCATAAATGAAAGTATCTTAAGAAAACACCAAGTCACCCTAGACACTATGCCCCCCCCCCTATCAATAATCCTCTTTTCGCTACTGGCGAAAATGTGAATTTTAATTAACTGGTGATGAGTGATGATATAGGTGAATGATGATGTTGAGGAAAACCCTCGCCGAGATCTCAGTTTTTCCAAAACTTCCACATAAATTGGTCGAGGGTCGACCCCAGACCCTAGCAGTGGACGGGTCCCCCCCCCCCCCAGGATGTGCAACATTATCCTAGATGCATTCGTTTTGCATGAAAGTATGTTCTGGACATAGAGAGCTTGACCTGAAATGTGAAGGCCACATGATACACATGTCTCAAAACGTATATAGTATGATTTTTGTAGTATCTAAAGGCTCTATCATATATCTTCATATCTAAAGATTTTGGTTTCTGTATAAGGCATTTGATTCAGGAGCTTAGATCAGTCTTTCTTGTTATGAAATTTCAAAGAGAGCTTCAATTGATTTGAAATCCCATTGAAGGACTTGTTGGTTATTTATTTAAGACTAAAATTAATTATTATCAGAGTTTTTACATCATTCAATAAAAGATCATTGGCCAAAAAGCACTGTTGTGCAATATCTAGGCGTATGGTTGACATTATTTCCAATTGTTCTCTATTGTTATATTGTTCTCTCAGTGCAGTATCATCTGTGTATAGGTTTGGGGAGATTGACAGGTTATAAGTCAAGTCATTCAGGAACGGACTCACGAGCCCTGCAGTATAACATACTCTATGTCAAAAACTTTGAGAGTTTTTGTTGCTCACATATTGTTTTCTAGGCGGCATGTTAGACTAGAGTAATTTATTACTGTTGTCATTTATGCCGTTGTATTTCAGTGTTTGAATTAGCAGCATAGATAAAACATGGTCAAAAGCTTTTGTTAGGTCACATTGCTATAAGACTTGTCTTCAAATTAATCAGTGATGTACTTGATCAAAAGTTCCAAGGCAGTAGTGGTTGATTTGTCATATTTAAAACCAAATTGTGCTGGTGAGAGTAAACAGTTTCTTTCAATGTAAAAAGTTGTTTATATAGAAGAGATTAGAAAACATTGAAGATTGCTGGAACCAGGTAGATAGATGGATGTACTAAATGTAGTTTTCAATTTGATGACTTTTTGGTCTGAACCCGAATAGAATGATTAAATTAGAACTTCAGGATTGATCATCAATTAAATGAGAATTAATAAAATAATTATGATTTCTGTTACAGATATCCTTCAAGGAAACGTGGGTCTATTGAATAACTACAACTTGTGCCACATTAGAACAATTAACTGGGATGACATCATCACTGGACCGGGTGCTCATGTTGTACACGTGTACAACTTCACAATGCCAGAACGGGAATGTCCTCCCTGTCATTCTTCCTGTGAAAATGGATGTTGGGGTGAAGGCCCTCATAACTGCCAGAAGTTCTCAAAAATCAACTGCAGTCCACAGTGCCATCAGGGGCGGTGCTTTGGAACCAACCCACGCGAGTGCTGTCACTTATTCTGCGCTGGTGGCTGTCGTGGTCCTAAACAGAGCGACTGCTTGGTAAGTTTAGGCCGATATTTATTTGTATTTAATGAGCGTAGATATTACCCTTGTTTCTGTAAATTGCATTCAAATTGTTTGATACTAATTTCTTTTCAAGTTATTAGATAATGTAGTTGAGATAATTGTTTTTAACTGTAATTTTTAAATTGTAGGCGTGTCGGAACTTCTATGATAATGGGGTATGTACACAAGAATGTCCACCCATGCAGAGGTATAATTCCATAACGTATTCATGGGAAAGTAATCCAGATGGCAAGTATGCGTATGGGGCAACATGCGTGAAGAAATGCCCTGATCACCTGTTGAAGGACAACGGAGCATGTGTTCGAAGTTGTCCTCAAAACAAACGAGTAAGTGTCGTAATTTGTAGTAAAATATTACAAGAAAAGAATAATCATTTAAAAAGAGTTGGGCAGTTTCTACACTTAATTTAATTTTGAACTATTTATTCATTTTCATGTCATTTAAAATGTCACATTACAATGCGCATTTTACTCAGGTAATTTTACTTGTAAAATGCTTTATCTTTAGGTTCAATATTTAATTTTTTTGAAGATTGTTTGGTATTATTTGCAAACCTAGGTTTGTCGTATTTGCTATTTTATAGTTAATACATATTAAATTTAGTATGTAAATCTTGTTAAACTATTTTTTCTGTTTTTACATTTTAATCAGATTTTGAAATTGTGGTGTGTGTAATGCACAACATTCTTGGGCAATGATATATAAGTACTTTTAAAACTACAAATCCTACTAGTTTTCAAAATGAGCTCTCTTTTACTGTTGTGTGTTAATCAAAACCTTTGGTTTCAGGCTGTTGAAGGGGAGTGTGTCCAGTGCGATGGGCCTTGTCCAAAGAAATGCGAGGGTGAATCATCAGTCCATTCAGGAAACATAGAGAAGTTCAAAAATTGTACAATAATTGAAGGCTCAATCTCTATTTTGGATACAAGTTTTAAAGGTTTCCAACAAATTTATAGCAATTACACTTTTGGGGAACGTTATGAGCCCATGCATCCTGATCGCCTGGAGGTTTTCAGTACTCTTAAAGAGATCACTGGATACCTACATATTGATGGATCTCATCAAGATTTTAGAAATTTATCTTACTTTAGGTAATGCAGAAGAACAAACATTTTTTTGATTTTGAGCTAGTTATCTAACCTACATTGAACTTCAACAACTGATGTGGATATTTTATATTTTTTTAGGAATCTCGAAACAATTGGTGGAAGACAACTGACTGATTATTTTGCTTCCTTATATATTGTAAAAACCACACTTACTTCCTTCGGTCTCAAATCGTTGAAAAAAATAAGTTCTGGAAGTATAGCTATTTTAGAAAATCCGGATTTATGTTTTGCAGAGAGCCTAAATTGGACTAGGATCAAAGCATCTGCAGATCACAGTGTTCTTCAAGGAAACAACAGGAAGACTGAGGAATGCAGTAAGTACTTTATTTCTTTAAACAAGCATTATAATTTGATAATCTTTAATGATCTTACTTACTGTTTATTTAACATCAAATTTTAGATATCTCCATTGCACATTTTAAAACAATAGAAATTCTGTGTTTATTTGATTTCTAACTATTTCATATAGTTTTGAATTTTGAAATAATTTGATTTAAAAAGTTGCTTCATGTTGTGTCGAATGCCCAACTTTTAATTCTTATTTATTCATTCAGTCAGTATTGTTTTTTATGTTTATTACCACACAAGTGATCATTTACTTTGTTATTTCTCTATAGTATTCTTAAAATATTTAACAAAATAATGTAGATCAGATTGATTCCTGGTAATGCTTTGCTAGTGGTTGTTAAAATGAAAAAGAGATTGTAAGCTGTTGAAAGAATTGATTTTACTGGCCGGGAAATAAGCTGGATCTCCCAGTGTATATCCAGTTGCTCTTCAATTTGAGCTACCGAGACAGTCAGCTCTTTGAAAAATATTTCTGGGCATGCCTATGATAATTCTAGTATATTCACCTCTTTCTTCTTTGGACAATTGAAACATCTAATTGATTATGAGTTATGTAGCTTTGATGTTGATTAAAACAAAGATAAAGGCAATTACACAATGCAGGAAATCTATTCTTATGTAATTGTACAAGCTAACTACAGCGATAAGGTGAATTGTACAACAGAAAAAAATAAGACTTTCTGTGAACAGTTGCAGCAGGAATGGTGTGCGATAAAGAATGTTCCGATGAAGGGTGCTGGGGTCCTGGAGCAGACCAGTGTTTGTCATGTGCACACTTCCATCTTGGAAGCAGATGCATTCACAACTGCAATTCTCTCCCAGGGTGAGTGTAGTTGTACTTTCTAATTACTATAAAAGATTCAACGTGTGATTCTTAATCTCTTAATAATTTTCAATTGTATTATCTATTTTATCAATTCTTAATCTATTTTTCTTTTTTTGTAAACTTGCTTTTGTTTTCATTTTTCAATTCCTTCTTGAATCCATTCTTTTCTCTTACCTTAATCCAATCCCTTGTTGAATAATTTCAACTACTACATTTTGTTGCTGTCACTTTTTGTGGTATTTGACTGACAATAAAATACAAAGGATGTATTGGGTTGAAATATTAATTAATGAACATTTCATGTATCCAACTAAATATATGTGGTGATGCATTCTTCATGATACTATTACGATGCTCACTTTGTCACTCTGAATATTATCATGCACATTGCTATAAAAATTTGCCTTTTTTGTTGTCTTGATGTTAAGAGAGGGTAATGTTTGTAACATAAATTGCTTTTATATCATCAGTGAACACTAGTTGAAGCAACCTTCCACAAAGAATGCTTGTTTAAACATCTCATTTGGTTAACATCAGTGCAAGTCAAGTTGGCTATTTAAAAGATAAACTATAAAAAGTATTTTCGTTATATTCTTCCAATTGCATTCTGTAGTTTCTGTAATAATATTTGCACTTGTAAGTAATTGGCTTCTTCTTTTCTTGATGCAATTCTTGAAGGCAAGAAAAAAAGGTAATGTGATAACGATTTCCCTTCTAATATCACTTAAAGAAATGGTGTTAATACTTGTTTGGTGATGGATAAGGTAATATTATGTGATTGGTCCATATTTGTGAAGGATCATACATCACCACCAATGGAGTGATGTTCAGAAAGTAAATTACTTTGATGTAGGTTGTAACATAAAATATATTATTTAAGTTATAATTTCAGTGAATTGTGGTAATTAATGTACAAGAGATAATTCATTATTTATTTATTTATTTTTTTTGTATACAATGGTGTAATATTACTGTAAATCACACAAAAGAAGTTTGACACTGCATGAAAATTCTTTAGAAGAAATTGCTCTTTCCCAAGACGGATTGCACTTGTTTTTCATTATTCTCTTATTGAAATATTTTAGTTCAACCAACTTTTTTAAAGTAATTTCCATTTTAATACATTCCTTATCAGAATATCAGTTTATCATATTTCTCACGTTCGAACAGATAATAATGAAATGCGCAAGTGAACATTTTAGGCATTCACCTCCTGTCTTCAATTGTGGCACAATCTTACTTATGTCCCTATGCTTCATTGGGTGTAGATTACAAAAATAATGTCAAAACTAGTTGTTTTTTTTTACTGTGGGAAGTTATCACATTCTTGATTATTCTAGTTAAACAAATATGATCAAATTTTAATATTATAAGTTATGGAATTTAATTTAGAAATTTTAGAACATGTAATTTTTACGACCTGTATGTTTATGCTGTTTTACTTCACGGAATGTGAACCTGATTTTTTTGGTTTGCTGTTTTCAGAATTTATCAGTCTGGTGAAAAAATGTGCAGTTATTGTCATGAAGAGTGCGCTAGCACTTGCAATGGTCCAGGCCCTGGCAACTGCACTTCGTGCAAGCACACAAAAGATGGCCCCTTCTGCACGGCTGAATGCCCAGTCACAAAATATGCGTCTGAAAATGGGGAATGTAAGCCATGTCACTCGAACTGTGTAGATGGATGTACAGGACCTTACAATACAGTGGGATCGGGAGGTTGCAATTCTTGTGAAAAAGCTATTATTAATGGAAATGTTACAGTGGTAAGTCTTTTTGTTGTTTATGATAAAGCTAACTTTAAGATACAGAAAATATCAATTTTTTTCAGATTCATGCTCAGAATAAAATAACAATTCCTAGAAAATGAATTTGGGTCCTATGCTATCAGTTGAATAATTCAAACCTTTACAATATTTTTAACTTTTATTTCAGAATCAGTTTTTAATTTTTCTGTATAATGTTTTATGGCACTATATCACTTAAAGAGCCTTTTCCTTTACAGGGAATGTGTCTTCAAAAAAATGAGTCATGCCCAGATGGTTACTACAATGAGTATATGGGGCCTCAAGAACAGGGTTCTCTAAAGCCATTAGAAGGCAAAGCTATTTGCAGAAGTTGTCATCCTCGATGTAAGAAATGTACTGGATATGGTTTCCATGAACAAGTGTGCCAAGAATGTGCTCTGTATAAACGTGGAGAACAGTGTGAAGATGAATGCCCTTTTGATCATTACGCGGTTGAATCTCACCATGAGTGTATGCCCTGTGATCAAGAGTGCCGTGAGTGTTATGGTCCTACTAATTCTGAGTGTAAAGCCTGTCGCAACATGCGATTATGGACGGTAAGTTAACATTGCCAGAAATAAGATAAAGTCCTTTTTTTATTATTTACCAAAGTTATTAATTATATTTTTTCTTTCTAGGATACTAACCACAATAGTTCCTCTTTCAATTGTACGGGTACCTGTCCTCCAGAAATGCCTTATAAAATATTTCCAATTGTTCCATCTGATGGTGAACCTTATTGTTCAAACGTTCAGCAGGAAGGTGTAGGAGGACGGTAAGAAACTTATATTTAGTCATTAGTGATTTGAATTACATATTTGCCTTATATGAACCTTATATTTAGTCATTGATATATAATTTCAGTGAATATTAATTAATAGTTGTTTTTTTCTTGAGCAGGCCGGACATAATTACCAGTTACCCTACAATGTTTGGAATAGGTGTGTTTGTTTGCTTATCAATTATCGCGGGTCTTGCTATGATATTTTGGGTATATAGACGAAAGGCAAAAGCAAAGGAAAATGCTGTGAAAATGACAATGGTAATGACTGGATTAGAAGACAATGAACCTCTAAGGCCGACTAATGTGAAACCGAACTTGGCCAAACTAAGAATAGTGAAGGAAGCTGAACTTAGAAAAGGAAGTGTTCTTGGATACGGGGCATTTGGTACAGTGTATAAGGTATGAAAATGAGGACATTTTTTAATTAATTACTTTTATGAAATATACTTAAGTAAACCCTTAATTCATATGATGTGTTTTAAATAATATAAAAAGAGATCTTCAAATAAGTGAAGTTCATTTTGTTTTGTAGGGAGTATGGGTTCCAGAAGGTGAAAATATAAAAATTCCTGTAGCTATTAAAGTTCTTCGTGAAGGTACAAGTTCTAACACCAGCAAAGAGTTTTTGGAGGAAGCCTATATTATGGCTAGTGTGGAGCATCCAAACTTGCTTCAGCTCCTTGCTGTGTGTCTTGCATCACAAATGATGCTGGTAACACAGTTAATGCCTTTGGGATGTTTGTTAGATTATGTACGCAATAATCGTGAACGTGTTGGTTCTAAACCACTGCTCAACTGGTGCACGCAGATTGCAAGAGGTACAAGGATCTTACTGGGATTTAAATTAATTTAGTTTCTTTAAAAAATGTATTTAAGATATTTTCATGCTATAACAGGTTCTAATTTGAGATTTATAATTTCAGGCATGGCATATTTGGAAGAAAAGCGCCTGGTGCATCGTGATTTAGCTGCACGTAATGTTTTAGTTCAAACACCAACCTGTGTGAAAATCACAGATTTTGGTTTGGCAAAATTACTCGCAATTAATGAAGATGAATACAAGGCAGCAGGTGGCAAAATGCCCATCAAGTGGCTGGCCCTGGAATGCATCCAGCATCGGATTTTTACTCACAAGAGTGATGTTTGGGCTTTTGGTAAGTTTTGCTTATCATATCCAAATACTGTGCTTTTCGGCAAATAAGAAGATAGAAAAAGTGGGAGAGAGTGGGAGGGAGAGAGAGGTGACTCCAAAAATACAGGGTCTAAACAATTCATAGACCATTGGCAGTTCAGTAGTCGCTCTATAGGACAGATACATGCTAAAACAATAAAATCTTGATGAAAATGTATACTATATCTTATCTGAAAGTCATCTTATCTGCAGAAATATACAGTATTATCTAACATATTCGTGGCTCCCTTTTTCACCACTTTTGAAGATAATAGTTTTTATATAAACAAGTGCTTCACAAGTGCCCAAGTTCAGAAAAAAAGTAATAATGCTTTTTTATTGTAGGTGTAACTGTCTGGGAATTGCTTACATATGGTGGGCGACCATATGAAAGTGTTCCTGCACGCGATGTGCCTGAGCTTCTGGAGAAAGGAGAACGCCTGCCTCAGCCGACGATATGCACCATCGACGTGTACTTGCTAATGATCAAGTGCTGGATGCTGGATGCGGAGAGCAGACCGAGCTTCAAAGAGCTTGCAGATGAGTTTGCTGCGATGGCACGTGACCCAGGGCGTTTTCTCGTTATTCAGGGAGACCGATTCATGAAGCTTCCTTCTTACTCTGGGCAGGTAAATAACTACTCTTTGAGAACAAATAAGTAAGACTGAAATCTCTTTCCTTAAGTACGCTGTGCTTAATGAAAGTAAAGAAAGTTTACTAGCTTTGACTTTGTGAGGGATTTCGATACCTTTTGGCCAAACTGCTTCAAATTATTTGCTTTGCAGTGTCAGACAATTGAAAGGGGTGAGAGAGGGGGAGACGGAAAAAAGTTTATCTATCAACTGAAAAAAACTTTATTCACTTGATCCATGAATCATAAAAGTGAGTGAAAAAGACTAGTGTTTTATAACAAGACATACTTTCTTGCATTATTTCTTTTGTGATTATTAAAATTTAGAGAGTTCTATGAAACTTAGATCTGCACATCTTTTCTAGCATCCTTTGCTCTTAACTGAGGAAAATATTAAAGAAAACATTTGGAGAGGTTTTTGAGAATTTTTTAATACTTTTTATAAATTAAATTAAGGATATAGAGTGATTAACCAAGTCAATAGCTTTATTAGAATCTGTGTAGGTACTGTCTATTTAAAATATTTTTTCAAATGAATTGAGAATATAGTGAGTTAAATATGTTGATTTCGCATCAATATCGCTAAAATTCTTCGCATCTTTGTCATTAATCCAATTTGTTTTTTGGAATGATGAGGATAAATTAAAAGTAAATTTGTTGCTAATGAAGTCTTGAAGAGTCTAGATATTTTGACAGCCAGTATCTATAAAGTTTCTCATTGAAGTTGAAATTTTGTGTTCAATACTTTCTTGTTAACTCGTGCTATTCGATTTGTTTGCAGGATGAAAAGGAGATGATTCGCAACCTCTCTTCTCCTGTGGAAGGTCCTGAAGCTTTGGTGGATGCGGATGAGTACTTGCAACCCAAGTCCCGAGCTCCGCTGGGCCCTGCGCTCACGAGCATTGACTCCTCCTCTTCCTCCTCACCCCCTCATCCTTGTTCTAAACGACTGTGGACAGCATCCGCAGATTCCCCCACACCTCAAAACCAACAGAATTGGAGTCGTGAGGCGTTGCAGTGTGGCCCGGCACCTCTCTGTAGGGACCAGTCTTCTACTCGATCGTCAGATGAACCAGACTGTGGCAGCACGCGGTACTGCAGTGACCCATTGAAAATGGTGGGAACAAGAGGTGGGTGTTATTTCCACTATCATCTGGATTTACTAAAATTCTAAAATTCTCCATGAACTTTCCCACCTTCCTCTGATCAGTCTTCATGCTTCATTGCACTCTTCCCAGTCTCTAACTCTTCTTCCTGACTATTTCCTTCCTCAATAAATTCTCTGGCATAAATAGGTGTGTTCATCCAACTCAAGCATCCATCATATATATATTTCTCCTGGATTCTGTCTATTCTTCTTATCTCTCTCCAACCCCAAAACTACATTCTCTGAATTCAGATGGAACTTGCTTAGCTATCAAAGACTGTCATACCCTTTATATTACATTCAGGATGTAACTTTATTGTGTCTGTTTTCAGTGATGGAGGCCAAGTACTATAGTAGTTATTAGTTGTACTGTTACCGTAAAAGCAATTCAATGTGCATCAAATGGCAATGGCATCAATACCCTGATATGACACTGATAGCAAAGCATGAGAAACCAATCAGGTTCATGGATACCAACATGTGGTAACGACACAGACTGAAATATATTTATTTTCTTGGAATTTGAAAGGAAAGGCATGTAAAATTTAAAATAATAACAAATCAATTTTTGTGCAATTTGGGTGTTCTTTAGCTTTTCAGAATACCTTCTAGTTTCACCTCTGTTCCTAACTTAATATCTTGATTCAAAACTATGAACAACTGAATAATGCAGTTACATCATTTCATGTTTCTTCTGAAAATAATTTAATCTATATTCGTAGCACTGGCAAAAGTAGCTCAGGGTATCAACTGATGTCACTGCAGTGCCTCTGACCAGAAGGTCCTAGTTTTGGCACACAATGGTGGCAAGGTTTTCGACACTAGCTAGGTTGAATTCAGATGGTGTCTGGAGGAAAATTCTAGCAGCTGGCTGCTCTAATTAGTAGTTTTCTGTGGTTTCTCTGATCAACAGCAGGCAAATGCTGGAGCAGTCCCCTAACAAATGGGCCATGGACTCTGCACAATCTTTCCTTTCCCTTCTTTGCCCTATCCTCACCCCTTCATTTACACACACACACACACTAACATGCTTGTTAGGAGCTAAGAGCATGTCCTGGCTAGAGTGGTGCCCTGCTCATGGCAGATACATGGTTGAGGAAAACTTTGTAAGCCGAAATGTAGTGCAGCATCGTATCTTGTCAGCGGGGGGAGATCACCACCACCTCTCGCAATGGAAACTTACACTACACGACAAGATTGGAATCGCTTATTAAACAATTGATCGATCAATAATTTACAGCTCCAACAATTTGTGTGTTTGCAGAGTCTGAAGGCCTGTCTGACCCGTGCCATGCTGTTGGACTCCCCAGCAGGTGCGAAGCTCAAGTGGGAACCCTGAAACTGGAACTGCCTTTGGATGATGACGACTACTTGATGCCATCTCCTCAGCAGAGTCAGTCCACAACTACTTACATGGATCTCATAAGTGATACCAAAATAATAGGTATGCAACTTTCACTGGTGCAATTTTCTGAGTTATGTTTTTTTTTTTTTTTTTTCGGATCAGTATAGAGGGCAAAGAATTTTTGGGGACCAGCAAAAAAAGTAAAGATATTTATAAAGTCTTAAAGCAATATGGTAGAAAGGATAGATAGATATAGATATATAGATATAGATGTCTGCAACATTAATGAACGCATTCATTATTTGTAATCAATTATAAACATTATAATCAATATTATGCAGACAACCATGATTATTCATAATTTAGGTTAGACCGAGATTATCACCAAGCCCTGATGAAGGTTGAATATATAGTTAAAATATCAGCAATGTAAATTTAATCAATCATTAATAACCCAAATGTGTGAACCTTACAATACAATTTCAACAGGTCAAGAGATAAGGCATAATATTGTGAAGAAAGTTCATTCTATAATACCCAGACTTTTAGAATGCAGAAAAAATAATTTGAATAATAAGAAAATGTCATCCTTGTGATTCTTGCAAGCCTCTCTTCATTAAGCTGGGAATCTTACCATTGCCTAGACTATTTATTTACGAATCAGTAATTTTTGTCAAAATTGACTTAACGGTGGGAACACATTTTCATGCAATACTGATATTTATAATTACAACACGCATAGAAACCACATTCATCAGGTGTAAGTATCTACAGCTCAGAACAAGAAATCAATATTTTATAAAAATAAGTTATTTTTCAATGCATCATCAAATTACGTGAAACCATTAAAATCGAAACACAAATTTAAGTTCTAAGTAAAATCTTTTCTGCTGCATAACTTTCTACATAATTAGAAACTCTACTGACCATGATAGTGATATATAATGCATGACCAGCAATGATATACAATGAATTAGTTTACACGTGTATTATACAATTTAAAAAAATTCTTAATATACCCATAACAACAAATGTACTTCAGCTTTTGGTAGTAATAGCCTCCAATCTCTTATCAGGTTTTGTTTAGTTTCCCTGAGTGATCCATTTGAGCTGCTGAGATGGCTCCATTGTTTTGCTTCTGGATGTTAATGTGGCTTCACTATGTGCACATTTAGTTGAGCTCTTCTTGTGCTAGTTGTGCTAAGAGTAGGTCCGGAGGTATAGGTTACAATTTTCTTATAAATATTAACAACTTAATTATGTAATTCATTTACCATAGCAAACAATTTTCTATAACTCAGAGCGAAAATGTATAGTTTTCAAATGTTCCTAACCTTGCTTTGTTGATTCTTTTAGTCATCATTTAACTATTTAGGGTTAATAGGTGGCAAAGGAGTTTCAGAGCTCAAGAAAATATGCGCTTATTGTACTTCTTGATACGTAACACATGGTTTCTTTTGTTCATTGGCAAAATGAATCAAATCAAATAAGTTACATAATCTAATTAATTACATTAGATGAACTAAAGTAGAAATATCCATCTCTTAGGCATTTCCTATTAAAAACTAATATTTCTTATTATGGAGCTTCTGAGCTCCTAAAACATTGCTCTTAACTGTAATAAGATGTTTTGTAATTGATTTAAGATTACCATTCTAAAATTTCACTTTAATGCGTTTATAAAATCTTGCAAGTCTTCAAGCAGATAATTTAACGTAACTCTCTTTCAAATACAATGTTTCCAAAACCATTGGTCGAATTTTATTATTGTTCACACTAGTGCAATGTATCAAGTGTCAGTTTCTAATTAGACTCTTAGCAGTAATCTAGTTTTAGGTGTGCAATGAAGATGTTTTGGAACATACTTGTTTTCGAAAATACATTAAAATATTGTATCTGTGTATTTGCTTTTTTAAATTTTTTAATTATCTAAAACAGCCTTTATAAACACTGACTTTTATTGTTTTCAGGGAAAGGAAAATCTGGAGTAGATAATCCTGAATATCATGTTATGCGTGAAGATGCAATGGCGATGCCAGCACATACCATTGGTATTCCCACAGATCCAGCAGAACGAGTTGCTCCTCGGTTGCATCTTCCTCAACACAAATCATCCGAAGAAGAGTCAGATCATGAGTACTACAATGACTTTGATAGACTTCAGAGGGAATTGCAACCTCTTAAACCTTTACGAAGAAACGAAACTACTGTCTGAAGGAAAATTGGAACAGTTTATGAAACAGATACTTATAGTGGAGGAGTTTTGTAGTACAATCGTGTGTGGAGTGGCTAATGGACATCAAGTGAACACCACACATACTCGAAAGCCTGTGGATTTGTTTCATTATCAACAGATTTGTGCCATTTTTGTGGCTTGTATATTTTATATCAAAAATTGATTTATTGAGTGAATGAGTTGAGTGATGTGTGATATTTCGTACGAACAATTCTCGAGCAAGAAAGCATTTTGTGTGTGATATACTAGATATTTTAAATACGATTGTGGGAGAAATGTATTGAAAGGACTCAAAACTCCACTGGAAATGTTTCTTCTTGCACGGGCGAAAGACTGTGATACGGATTATTGTACCTAATTTTTTTTTTTTACTTTGAGAGGACGAAACTCTTTAAAGTTGATTGCCAACAAAATTGGTGAGATGTTAATACAAGAACAAAATTAGAAACTAAATCTCATAGTTTATAAGTGTGCTTGAAGAAGCTCTCCTAATGGCAAGTAGAAAGGGATTATATTTTTACATCATTTCAATCAACATTTGAAAGCACTTAAATATTTTAGTTTCATTTAGTGTGTGCCATTATATACTTTTTAAGGGAATGGAAAACCGAAGAATTGTACAATATTTCATGTTATTACTTCTGTACATAAACAAAATGACCTTAATTAAAATCAACTAATGTATATTTTATTCCTCCTCGAAATTTGATTGTTATTAGCAATGTGCCTGCAAATGTCCTAAGGTTCATTCTTCCATCTTGTTTTGGAATAATGTCCTTGCTTGCACAAGTTTTGCATTCCTCATTTGGTCACTGCATCAGATGCAGAGAAATATGGATATGGCCCTAGTTCTGAGGATCATTATGTTTATATTGCCATTTCAATAATCCTGCTACATACCTATTGGTACAGGAAATTCTTGGATTATTGAATCTGGATATTCGTTGAGTAGTTACAAATTTTCAATTAAAATGTTTAAAGTTTATTTGTAAGTGTTGAATTTTATTATCTCCCAATTCCCTACAATTTGCCTAATATTTCAGAATTTCTTTACCATTCTCTTCTGATGTATCTAAGCACAATAAATTCACATATTCATTTGTGACCACATAAACCTTACCCAAACACCACATATCTCCAAGTCTTTATAACAGTCACATAAAATTATGAAAATTATATTTAAATCTACAAAAGAATGCCACAACTAATTTTACCATTGTTTTGCAAAGTGTTTTCCATCGAAATGCTTAAAAAATAGAATAAAACCTTCATTTCTTTGCACATTCAAAGATCAAACACTCACTGTGCTGGACTGACATTAAATTTGGTGTTCAGTACTATGAATAGCATTTCCAAATGAATATTCAAATACTATCAAGCAGTGAAAATAGTGATTTTGTGACAATTAGTATTTTAACCTTTCTTGACGTGCGTACTGTAGCATGCCATTGGCACTGCTACTAACTGGTGCTATGAGCATTCGTGACTCAGTGTTGCGGAGGGGATGTACATGTTATGCTCATGTCCAAATCTGGGAAATTCACAAATTAGCTACTCATTGTTAATCCACAATGGGCAGATAGAGTCAAAGTAGAAACAACTTCAAAGTACAGTATAGAGATGTCCAATATATGTGACTTTTTGAGCTTCTGAGGGTAGCACTCAGAGCCTCTGGGGGACAAGAGGCAAGTTGCTAAATGCCATGAGCTAATGATTAAAATAGATTTAGATTTAAATTTTTTCAGTAAAAAAACAAACAAAAAAAACATGAAAACTGTATGTGACTTAGGGGAAAAAAGATTATCTGCGCACATTTTCTTGAGTTCCAGAATCCATTCCAGTAATTTTAACTATTAATAGTTAAAATATGAGTGGAAGTTTAACATTAATCAATAAAAATAAATTTTAAAAATCGCAAGATTAGCAATATTTTAAAAATAGTCATTTTCGTTTCTGAGTTATAGAAAACGTATTTGAATGGGTACAAGAATTGCAAGTATGATTTTTCTGCATTGCTAACAAAATAGCAACTTGCCCTTACCTCCACTCTCACCAAGCAAAAGAAGAGTTCAACAAAACGTGTGCATAGTGAAGTTACATTTACATTAAATATGTGTATATGCCAGCACGGATCCAAGGGGGGAGGGGGAATGAGGTCCCCCCCCGCTAACCCTCAAAAAAGTTCCAGTTATCATTAATTTTTACTTGCTCGAAAGTTTCAAGCAAAAATAATTTCGGATAATCATTAAACGAATAAAATCGTTTTGCAGCATGAGTTGAGTTTAGCCTGCAACATTACATAATCTGTAATATGACAGATTAAACCAAAGCATTTTGAATAAGAAACTATCTTAATTTATCGATCACGCGCGACTCACAGTCGGGCATTTATCCCTAGGATACGGTAATATAACTAGGGGCGGATTTTGACGACCTAAAACAGCCAAAAATGATCAATGAAAAACTCTTCAAATGTTTTTAAAATGCTCTAAACCAAAGAAAAAGTACGTACTTTATTTATCAAAACAAATTCAAATGCGTAAATCAAGCACTTGGATATGTTACTGATGTAATCGCAGTGTCGAATCAAAGAGTAGGGGGCAAAGCTTCCAAAAACGACCAGAGAAAAAAATGGTAAAAGTGCAGGAAGAATAAAAATGAGAAAAACAAGAAAAAATGTAGAAATGTCTAAAATGTATCGATGTAGTAACCGCGCGTTCTGTTCGTAGCCTTTTAATTACGAATGGGAATCCTGATTCTCCCTGTGTTTTAGCCCAGTGGTGCGTGTAGAAAATGTATTCGATTCTTTTTCAGAGGCGTGTAACAGCTCATCTGTTTCTTACTCCGCTTCACAAGCGGTGCTGCCGCTACGGTTGCACGTATTGGACAGTAGCCGACGCAACGGGGAACTGTTGACGGAGTATGGTCTCTCTCTTGGTACCAAGAGAGCAAATGAGTGATCATGGGCCGCTGTGACCAATGTGTGGAAGGTGAGTTAAGTTTAAGGGTGTTGAAAATGCAATGGTCGTATGGGGACGGGGAGCCTTCTTCACCAGTATTTCCCGATTGATTAATAGGCACAATTATTAAAATTGTTTAAGAATATTTCACCTTAAATTCAAATATATTTTAAACTATTTGGATTCCTATCGATAATTTTTTATACGTGTGAAAATGTAAAATCACTAATAAAGAAAGAAGAATACGAACAATTCTCCGTTCCAAGAAATTGATGATAAATATTTCTCGAATGGCGTGTGTGCCAATGCGCCCCGAAATCGGGCCGAGGCCAGCGTCACACCGTCGCCGGCGACGGGTCGGCCCACGCGGCACGCCCGGCAAATCATATTCATTTCATTGCACGTACGCTACGACTCAAGTGAATGTTGGGCGACGGCTTTTGCGCGGTGAAGGTGCACGATGTCTACTATGCTACTGACTGGTGCGACCTGAACAGAGAAGTTTTGAAGAAAAATAATATTTATGTTAATAATAATAATAATAATAATAATAATAATAATAATTAGGGCGCACGTTCGCTCGGTTGTCATTACATTTCTATGAAATCTAATCATAAATTCAATATCATTCTATATCATAAACAGTATTTTCTCAAATGCGCCTCCAAATTTTTACTTGGCCGTATACGTACTATGTATGCGGAGTAATATAAATAGTGTATGGAAAAGTTGTGTAATGCTGTGGAACATCGATTTCGAGATTTCGACGTAAATATACGTTTTGGAGTCCCCTGATACAAAAAAGTGTTTTCTTCAAAACGTCCGTCCGACCGTCTGTTCGTGCGTCCGACGGTCTGGTGATGATGAACCCCACTAGCGCCAACATCATGTGTAGGCGCTGTTTTCACGTTGAAGAAACCCTGGTTAATCTGGTTCGAGTAGAATCTTTGATATTTTGAATTTTTTGGGGTACTTTACATGAAGCCCGCTGGACATTTTCAATTTTTTTTTCAAAAACTGCTCCAATTGTTTTCTTTAAATTTCATGTAAGATTAGAGTAACATACACGTATAAACATGGCTTCGATCCAATTTTCACGATTAACTATGAATTTTCGAAAATTTTTTCGGTGCCTTTCTACAACTACAAAATTAAATATATAATTTTTTCCTTCAAATAAAATGTGTTTTCCAGTAAGTTCTTTCATTAAGACCCTGTACATTTTTCAAAAAGTTTAGTAGTTTTTGCACAATATTGCGTGCACTTCGTGTAATTAAAAATACAAAACAAGATTTTCTCATAAAAGGCTCCATTTATTTTCTTTAAACTTTTGGTAGGGATAGTCCTAAATGTACTCTATAAGATGAAATAAACGCCATTATGCTCTGTTCTTCCATTTTTTCCAAATATTACAAAAATGTAATGTTTTTGACTTGTCTCTCATGTCGTTAATATTTATATTAGAGGCAAATTGTTCACATTACTATGAGTACATGTGCTTTAAATAATGTAAGATAAAGTTTCTCGAAAACACTTCCGTTTTCTGCAGTGAAAACTAGCTCAAACCTCCGCATTATCAGAGACGCTCAAACGCCATTTTTTCAAAAACGGTTCCAATTTTTTTCTTCAATCATTTCGAACGAATAGTAGTGATTGCACCCTGTAATATGACGTAAAGTTAACTTCGGTGTATTTTTTTCTTTTAAAAATTACACAAATTAAATTTTTTGAAAGATCTCTCACGCCGTTGATATGCATATTTCCAGACATTTGTAAACACTATTGTAATTGTGGGTAGTACTTAAAATGACTTCAAATTAATTTTTTCGAAAACAAAAAAAAAATCTGTGAAAATGAGCTCCAAATTTCGAATTTACAGTAGCGCTTAAACGTCAGTTATTTAAAAACGGCTCCAAATGTTTCGAAGTACAATGGGCTATTTAGGACGAGGTTTTACTGTTCTTTAATAATCTTAAAATAATATTTCCACCTTATAATTAGGAAACCGAAAAACTAAGAAAATTGTCAAAAAATGTACCTTGGGCGACGATAGGCAGCAGGCAAGAATATGTGGCAAGTTCGAATAGCTAGCCGAGACCAATGGAAAAAGAGAACTAACACGGGAAAGTCTGTGCCATTCTGTAGCACCACTACTGTCTTTAAACTTTTGGTAGATTGCTAAATGCAGTCAATGATATGACATTAACGCTGTATTGCTCTATTCTTTTGCTTTTACAAATATGTAATGTTTACTTTCCCGTATACGTACGTATATACGGAGTAATATACATAGTATAGGGAAAGTTATGCATTGCTAAGGAAAATCGATTTCGAGATTTCAACGGAAATATACGTTTTAGGGTCCCCTGAAACCGAAAAAGTGTTTTTATCAAACCGTCCGCCCGTCCGTCCGTCCGGTGTATGTGAACAACACTAGCGCCTAAACATTGCATAGGATTTTTTCCAAATTTAAGAAAACCCTGACCATTTGACCTGAATCGAAGCTCTGCGAAATTGAAAAATATTCATTAGTTTTTGGGGGTACTTGATATCAGGCCCCTGCGACATTTTTAAAATTTTCTCAAAAACTGCTCCAAATTTTTTTTTATATTACTTGTAAGAATAGAGTAACATACACTTATAAAGGTGGCGTATGTCCGATTTTCACGGTTAACTCTGTATTTGCGAAAATTTCAAAAGTTTTTTTCGGGATCTTACCACAACTACAAAATTAAAGATAAGATATTTTTTCTTTCAAATTACGTTTGTTATCCATAATTTGTTCTTTCATTAAGATCAAGTACATTTGTTTGAAAATTTTAGTAGTTTTCATACAATATTGCCTGCAATTTGTGAAAAAACAATGTTACCTCAATAGCACTTAAAATACAAGTGATGGTAACGAGTACAACAAATGGTAACGAGTACATACATCAATTAGCCCCATCCCTCACGCACTTCCATGGAGTCTGCGTTGCAATAACTTCAACCGTTCAAAAGTTATAGGAGGTGCTAAAGTTACACGACTC